CAAAGTTACTGTCACACTTGGTGAGGAACATAAACGCCAGGTCTCCAATAAATCAGACTTGGGGCGGACAATCCCCCAACGACGACGTAACTCACGGCCGAGGATCTGCCTTGGCCCCTCGTGAAGCCGGACACCCTCCCCTCCGGTCCTGGGGTGTGGCGTCCAAGAACCGCAGCCGCCGCGTCACCCCCGTCCCGGCCGCTCCCGCGTTGAGGGGCTGCCTCCTGGTGGTCAGCACCCGGCCGTGCGCCCCGTGCCGGGAAAGATAAGCGACGGTCCAGGCAGCTCAACCAAGAGAATCGCGTCTGGGAGTGTCGACAGAGATGCTGCCCGGTGATGTGCCTTACAGCGCCAGGCACGTCCATTCCAGCTAAAACTATAGAGTGGCGGCAGCCTGAATTTCTATCAAAGAGGGTTGAGAAGGTCAAAATCAAGGTGCAAGAGCTCTGGATTTGGCCGCGAATCTGATTTTGCATAGCTTTGAGCAGCAGAATGCTATTTTTACTTCTAGGGAATTTTTGTCTTTTTAGGGGGAGAGAGGGTACAGGAAGGGAGCAAGGGGTAGGGGAGTGAGCATTATGCCTTGAGAGTGATTATGGAGAAGGGGGCTTTAGATCCCTGTTTTTTAAATCTCTCCCTCCCACTTTGGGGTTACCACTGGTTATACATGTAAATCATCGCACTGCTTATAAAGTTACCAGATGTGTCTATTTTTCTTAAAGGTTCATGACTGTCTCTTTAGAAGCATTATTTAAAGGCAGCAGTTATTCTCACACCCTCATTGAATTTTAGCACTTCGCTTGTATTCTCTTCTGTCTTGGGGGCTCATCAAAGCCAGTGTCTTCCCCAGATCTCCAACCCATTCTCTTTATAAAATAGGTAGCATCTCCTCCAGGATCTTGCTGTCCGATTCCTTCTCTTTTTTGTATTTTCTTTCTTTAAATGTCTTTTTGACTTTTTCCTGGATAAAAACATACCTCTGGTATACTCCCTTCCTTGCCTCTTTGAATAGAACCTGTCATTTCTTCCCTGCAGCTCACCCTCTCCTTTGCCAAGAATGAGGTTCAGACATGGGCAATCCAGCTGCTGGTGCTGCTTCATTTCCTTCCCGAGGTGGCCAGTGGACTCCTTCCCAAGCCCAGGCTCCACCCTTGCCTCCTTGCCTTCAGAGCACGCTGCGTAGTGCTCACTGACTCTTCATTTTCACTTTCTCTCTTAAACTAACATAATGGTATATCACTACTCTGTTTCTCTTTGGAACTTTACTAAGATATATTTTCAGCATAGCCTCTGCGTGTGTGTGTGTGTGTGTGTGTGTGTGTGAAGGCAAGGATTTTAGAAGAACTTGATAATCATGGTTACTTCTGATAAGTGATTCCAGGGTGTTTAGGAATGGAAAACACTTTTCCTTTTCATCTAGTGTAGTTCTTTTTTAATATATAACTTTTTTTTCTTTCAGTTTTATTGAGATATAATTGACCTACAGCACTGTGTAAGTTTAAGGTGTGCAGCAGAGTAATTTGAGTTACATACAGCATGAATTTATTACGACAGCAGCAAGTTTAGTGAACATCCATCATCTCATATAGATGCAAACTTAAAGAAATAGAAAAGGTTTTTTCTTTGTGATGAGAACTGTTAAGATTCACTCTCTGGATGATTTTCATGTAAGATACAGCATGTTAATCACCTTTATTGTTTTGTTCTTTACATCCCTAGGGCTTATTTATCTTATAACTGGAAGTTTGTACCTTTTAACGGCTTTCATCCAATTTCCCCTCTCTCATTTCTTCCCCCACCCCCAGCATCTAGTAACCACAAATCTTATCTTTTTCTATGAGTTTGTTTGTTTTTGAAATATAATTAACCTACAACACTGTGTTAGTTCCTATTATGCAACATCATGATTTGATATTTCTATACATTTAAAAATCATCACCATTATGTCTAGTTGTCATCTGCCAATGCACAAAAATATTATGTAATTATTGAATATATTCTCCACACTGTACATTTTATACCTGTGACTGATTTATTTTGTAGCTGAAAGTTTGTACCTTGATCTCCTTCACCTGTTTTCCTCCTCCATCCCCTCCCCTCTGGCAACCTCCTATTTTTTCCTTATCTTTTTGCTCTGTTTCTGTTATGTTTGTTCATTTTTTTGTTGGTGTTTTTAGGATTCCACATATAAGGGATATCATAAACTATTTACCTTTCCTATCTGATTTATTTTAGTTAGCATATTACCTTCTGGGTCCATCCATGTTGTTGTAAGTGACAGTATTTCGTTCTTTTTTATGGCTGAGTAATACTCCGGGGTGTGTGTGTGTGTTTGTGTGTATAGAGGAGAGAAGAAATTAAACAACTATAAAATCAGATGAATTTATATAGATGCTGAATTGGCTACAAATTAAGTTCAAGGGAGCAGAAAGGAAGAAGCAGTTATTTCTAATTAATGTATTGGAGAAGAACTTATGGAGATGACACTAAAACTTAGCTCTGGAAAAATATGTATGATCTTTGTGGGCAAATAAAAGTGGGAGTCTTTACAACGTGAGGCTACATCATAGTCCATAGCATGGAGATGTGAATGTGAAAAGCTTGGCTTGGGAAAGAGAAAATGTTCATCATGGCTGAAGCTTGTTAACAGGACTTCATATATATAATACTAGCTCTGTGAGGCGTTTGGGCCACATTTTGAGGGACTTTGGCTGGTACACTGAGGAATTTGGATTGTAATTTACAGTCTGGAGGAAGGTTTTTTAGAAATGTGTAGGAAACACTGAGGTTTATCCCCTCAACATCTATTCCCTGTCCCATCTCTGTTGCCCTTTCTAACCAAATCCCAGTTTTGCAGATAATCTACCTCTCTCCTATGAGATTCAGTGGGAAATGAAGCCATTTCCAGTTCCAGGGGTGGATATGGATTAGCTTGAGCCAAGTGTATTAACCAGTACCCTTTGCACTGCAGTGACTGGGTTTTCTGAGTTGTAAATAATAGATATGCACAAATCCTATCGTAATTGTTCAGCACATGCAAGAAGCATACACAAGTCAGAACTGTCATTGTTATCAGTGGTACATCAGTCCTTTTTTGTCAAATAGAGGAAAACTCACAGTAATTCCAGTTTCTCACTAAGTCAAGTGCGGGGGTTACTTTGTGTACATGCTTTCCAACAGTGGGCTGGCATTAATAGTCACTGGCTTCCTTCTTCAAGTATTTTTAGTTATGAGTTAAACTTAATGTGGTCCCGTATATTCTTTCCCTAAAGGGCCTCAGGGATCTGAAAAGGATTAGCCACACTCTAATTCAGGAATAGAGATGGATGGATCCTCCTATGTGCATTTACTGGTATGAATCACTGGGAAGGTTTATTAAGTCACTGTTTAGGATGGTCCAGAACAGGTGTCTACAGCTGTTTTAAGACTGACTGACTACTATGGTGGCCATGGAAATGCTCGGCTCAGATCTCCATCTGCAGGGAGTGGGTATGTAACTGACAGATGGCCCCAGCAGGTGCTTTCTGGAATCCTTGGCGCCAAGACCATGTTGCCCAGAAGCTCCTGCTGGCCAGTGATTAGGGATGGTGGAGATACTAAGGTGGGCCCATTCCTAGAGACATGGGACTCTTTTGGTGGGTAACTTTGGCATAAGGGTTCCCCAGTGGCCTTGATGAAACTTTCTGCAGTGCAATGCAGGCCATCCCTTTTTTGACTCATTCCTTCACAAGGGTTAAAACCACATCACAGTCTGATGGCTCTCCCAGCCCCCTCTGGGTCCCTCTCCGTTTTCTCTCACAAGTGTTTCCCTTAATAAATCTCTTGTACACCTGACCTTATCTGGCTTCTGCCTCTTGGAGGACCCCAGCTAACATAAGTACTGTTGTAATTATATCTCCTAACATTAAAACGCTCAAGTGTACTTGTTAAAATTGTATTGCGATGGGAGCAAAGAGCAGAGTCATGAGCTTGGGAATATTTATGACAGACTCATCCACTACATTTTTCCTTCTTTAGTACATGTATGATAACCTTTATTCAAATTACAGCATGATCTGTTCCCAAGGGCACGTTCCTGCCTGCCTATTTATTTAAAGCAATGAAGCTGGAGTTTGCTGCTTCTCTTGACAGGTGCCCAGCCCTAACCCAGAGTTATAAAGGTGGTCATATTCTCCCTTGGTTTATTTGTGAAATTAATGTGGGCTTATATTTTCTTTTTGGGTCAGAGGTGTATGGGATACACATGGTAAGGACCAGCAATATTCTAATCACAGAAGATGTCTTGGAAAATATCACTGCCACTTCAGAGGTATCCAGGCTGAAACTCTCTTTCTCCAGTAACGAACAAGGGTGGGAGCTTCGTACATTTCTAAACTCCCGTTTCCAGGTCAGGCATAAAGTTTGATTTTTACTGAAGATTTCAGCCATCTGAGAGCCAGTGGAAATGACTTAGCCCAAGGCTGAGACAGGATGTTCTTCCTCTGGCTCTGAAATATCAGACCCAATGGGTAGGCATGCAACAGATACAATTTCCTATAGTGGCGCCTACACCAGTGTGAATTATACATCTTCAGACACAAACCCACAAGGGTTGCAGATACTAAGATGCCAGAGGGGCTAGTGTATGGGGATTAGAAATCA